AGTGAATTGATGAAAGAAGGTAGGTTACATGAACCTACCGTTCAGTTACATGAACTGAATGTTCGGCTTGACAAATCGAATAGTTGTGGTCTAAACTTGTTTTCCAGTGTGCTTGGAACGGACCCGAAACCTATCGATTCACAGGGATACCACAGAATTTAAAATATGAAATTCCCTGATATTTCCCTGATTTTCCAGACACATGTTTGTGGAATTTCCTGACAATTGAAGATATGATAGGTAGTCAAGAAGACATAATTGGACCGCGTTAAACAGAAGGGAACCAAGCCACATCAGCAGCCAAATTTAACAGGGGAATTTGATTTTTTACAAGAGAACGTTTGTGCGGACTCCTTTGAAAATTTTAAGGAATTTGCTTTGTACTATGGAGAAAATTCATAGAAATTTGCACAAAACTCCGCACAATCGTTTTCTTGTAAAAAATTAAATTGCCCGATTAAATTTGGCAATAGCTGACGTGGCTTGGTTCCTTTCTGTTTAACGCGGTCAAATTGAAAGTATTTTTCAGGCAAGATTTGCTCTTCGTACAATAAAGATAATAAAACAAATTTTCTCGGACATTTCCCGGTTTTCCCGGCATTCTCCGACTGTGGCAACCCCGATTCACCCGATCCACCGAATCACCAGGTTAAAAATTGCTCAAAAGCTCTCGAGGCAGGGCCAGAACTATTTCAAAAGAGCAGAGACAACCGCACCCCGCATGCATTCCAAAAACGACAAGATGTAAATGGTGACCGCACGAACACAACATCGGAGTTGCGATCCTGCCGCTTCGATGGCGGGGTCCTGTGGGACAGACCCGGTCCGTCCTCGAGCGCGCGGCAACGGTGGGCGATTCCCGACGGAACGTATTTCTACGTCCCCGGTCGGACGGACGATCGGGGCGAAACAAAGCGTCGATTCTTCGACTAATGAAATTTTGCAAGTCCCCGTAGTCGTGACACTCCACCGGGTTGCAACTGCCCGTTGGCAAATCTCGAAGCTTGCACTCCGGACCCGCCGGCGCCGTACAGTGGATTGAGTCAATTAGAGAGGTCGCTAGGTAAGTGAAACGAAGGTATGCTTTTCCAGACCCTTTCGGCGAGAGCTTGGATTTTGACTCTCGCCGCTAGAACTGTGGCGCGAAGTTCGAATTTCAACAATTCTACAATCTTGGCCGAAAACAAACATAACCGTCTGCTGTTGATAAAACTGGAAAAAAAGAAGAAAAAACAGCCTCAATTCTACAAGCTAATGAATTTTCATCTTTAAAGAATTCGCTTGCATTTTTGTTCGTTTTTATCAACAGCAGACGGTTATATTTGCTTTCGGCCAAGACTGCAAAATTGTTGAAATTCAAACTTCGCGCCACATCTCTAGCGGAGCCGAAAGCCAAGTTCTGACCGAAAGGGTCGGGAAGAGCATACCTTCGTTTCACCTATCTTGGAGAGGTCGGACATGACATTTTTAACTAAATTTTTAACTAAAGCTGCAAATATTTATGTTTACATCGTCACATTTTAAACTTCAAGGGGTGATTGACGGAGAAAATTATACGAGGCAACGCATGGAGCCACTTTTAGAACCTTAACATTTTGTATGAACGTAGTTACAAGCTATTAAAGTTTCCAAATTTTGTCCGACCTCTCCTATTGACTCGATCTACTGTGCGCCGTATCGCTTCCGAAACAGCTCGGGAAACCCTCATTTGAATCCGAACCCGGAGAGACAACACTGCCGCAGATGTTTCCATTTGGACGTATTTCTGCCAAACGAAACTATTGGCATTAAGACAAGAGCCTTGAGACCCGCTAGAAAATATGCACAACGGGGCTCATGTCATAAAGCACATAGTTCCGTTTGGCAGAAATACGTCCATTTGTTGTTTAGTGAGGATACGAACCGGGAACCCGATCGAATCAGTGGCGTAGCAAGCTTTGCGATACATCGATTGATCTGTCATTTAAACCTTCGGTAAAGTATCGATACAGGGGAACACATCAATAATCGATTCTTTACCTCATCTACAAATGGGGAAATATCGATAATCGATTATTAACACTGTATCGATGGAGCGTTGTTCGGCAACGGTGCACCCGTGGTCACGTTCCCCATCTTCTGGACTCGAAGATATTGACTCCGAGATACGGGATTTAGCCCGGCTACCGAGTGTGGGTCAGACCAGTGGGTCTCCTAGATTTCGATCTACATTAATTTATTAATTTAAATTTAGGATCGCTTACCAATAACGTTTCAACAGGAGGCGGTAACATTGTTGGATAACGTTTCCTGAATAATTACCAGTGGCGTAACGTGCTTAGCGATGCATCAATAGATCTGCCATTTTAAAACCTATGGAAAAGGATCGATAAACAGAGTTTTCGCGATTAACACCTTATTGATAGATTTTTTACCATAGCTTCAAATGGGGAAACATCGAAAGTCGATCATTCACGCTTCGCCACTGATAGCCACTGATACGAGGGTAGGGTGACAAATTTTCTTGGATTTCGAAATGGATCAGCTGCGCTGGATTTTCGCACACGCTAAACATTTAGGTTCCAAAATTGTTTCTGACAGGGTTACCACAGAATTTAGAAAATGGAATTCCCTGAAATTTCCCTAATTTCCCTGACATATGCAAATATAGGCGATTAACAAATTTTCCCTGACATTTTTGTCATTTTCCCTCACTTTGTAAAATTCCCTGACATTTCCTGCTTTCTCGGTATTCCCTGACTGTGGCAATCCAGTTCTGCTATTTATATCATTTGGTCGACGAGAGGTGTTCTTCTATTAATCTGTTGATTTGAACATTCCAAAATGCTATTGGAACGCCCGGTTTCTGGAATAGTTTCCCTGCCTGATTGTTGAAATTTTTTGTTTGTCGGGACAGGCTAAAGGGCGGAGCGTGATTGGTCGGCTTTGTCTTATCGCTGCTTTGCCGTGCCTATGTCGGGTTGAACTCACGACAAGCTAACGGCACCTCTTAAGTTTTCGACAGTATGTCGTCCATTCCACCTGACAAAGGTATGACAAAGCAGCGATGAGACATAGCCGACCAATCACGCTCCGCCTTTTAACCTATGTCATCCATGTCGTCCCGACAAACAAAAAAGTTCAACGATCAGGCTGCTGGAGTTCCCCAATTTTCCATGGAGTGTTTCATTCCCAGATAAATGAGGATGTTCTCCGGTTTTTCTGGTCCTAAACACCATGTACTTAATGTGTTTTCTGTTGTGTTGCAGCTCATATCTGCGGCCACGCTGATGGCGGTGGCTCGGGCCGGGTACCTCGGGGACCCGGGGCCGGGCCCCCTGGCGCACGCGTACGCCCCGTTTCTGGCTGGGCACGCGTACCCTGGATTTCGATACGCGGCCGCCGCACCCGCCCCCGCTCCTCCACCGCCGAAACCATCATTTCCAATATATAAGCCAGCTCCTGCACCAATTGCCTACAGTGCTCCCCTGGTACACGCCCCCAAAGCATACGCACCCGCATACCCTGACGCCTATCCGAAATACAATTTCGACTACAGCGTCCACGACGGGTTAGTATCCCTTAATCTCATTTCCGCAACTCATGACGGTGGTATAAAAATATAACTGGCTAAGTAACAAAAATCCAAAAATTGATTTGAATCGACGTATAGTTGTCCAATACAGGGTTTCATAATTGCATTGGGTTTCTTTTGTCCCACGACACTGATGAATAGGGTCGGTCTCTTTTGTAAACGTTTAATTACACTTAGGGAATTATTTATACAATGTTTCTACATTTCTAACATCTTAAACCATCCTGTGTCGTTAAGTTACAACGAAATTGTTCACTCAAATTCTGAAACACTGTCTTAGACATCGGACGTTTTCGCATACGTTGATTCACTTAGACATGCCATTCCGTTCTGTACAATAAGGACAGCATGTTGCACAATAGGATATGAGTCAACTTACTTCAACTAGAGACTTTAATATAGGATCATGGATTTAATGGAAGATAGCCAATTTTCATGCGTTCAGGTTTCGATCGATCACTGTCGTCAAAATTCACAAAAATTCTCCCCAAAAATTTGAGGGATCATTCTTTTTTCTGAGGTTGGAAACTTGGTTCTTTCCCCTTTGGACCCCTGGAATTCCCCTTCAACTTAAGATTTTTATATTTTTCAGACGATGGGTGAATTCAACGCTCATATTACAGACTATAACTATTTTTCTCTCTGAAAACTCTGAAGTTTTCGGGTCTCGCAGAGGTCTAGCTGCCGAAGTTCGGGTCACACATCTGAAGTACCTGGGTACACCGAAGGGTTCGGGTCACACATCTGAGTACTCCGGTACTTACCGAAGTAATTCGGATGTCTGACCCGAACTTCGGCAGCTAGACCTCAAGTTTTTGGATTCGTGATCCGCAAACTTCAAAGATCCACATGACCAAGTTTTTTCCTCGTGTGCATACTTCCTCTTGAAATTTTCAGCTAATTCAGATATGATTGCGAATCAAATTCTCTAAAAGATAGGAGTAAAAAAACTTGCAGCTTTCCCGGAAAATTGGTACTTTACCGAATGAAATTTGGCACCGTCTTAAGACTCGTGCAAAGTTTTTCTTCAGCACGGCAGTGTAGTCTGGCTGTTTAACCCTGCGATATTTTTTAAGATGACTTGTCAAAAATTGTGATGTTGACGTATTGTACTTTTTTTCGACAGGTATACTGGGGATACGAAAAGCCAGCACGAGACTCGGGACGGGGACGTGGTTCAAGGGTCGTACAGCCTAGTGGAGCCGGACGGGACCCTGCGGACGGTGAACTACGCGGCCGACCCGGTGAACGGGTTCAACGCGGTGGTGGAGCGCTCCCCGCCGCACGGGCACGCGCACGCCCCCAAGCTCTACGCCCCCGCCCCGGGCCCGGGCCCCCACCTCCCCTACCACGGATAACCCCCGTCCCCGCGACCCACCTCAGCGACCACGTTGATCCTCAGCACGATGCCAAGTGTGATACATGACTAGCATGGCTTTGTACATACTGCTAGGTTAAGGAGTTTCTCACTGCAATAAACGGAAAGCGTTCACTTAAAATCCAAACAATTGCCTTTTTATTTCACCATAGAGGAAAAAAAGACACTGGAAAAAAAAAAAAAACACTTTGGATCTAGAGTCCAGACTCTTGGAAACATTGACAAGAAAAAATACTCTTGATTCAATCGGATTTTTGCTTGAATCAAAACGAAATCCGCTTAAATTAGGAGGCTTGGTTCTTGATTTAAGTTGGAATCTGATTGAATCATGAGTACTTTTTCTTGTCGATGTTTTTAAGAGTCTGGACTCTAGATCCAATGTGGTTTTTTTTCCCAGTGAGGTGTTTGCATCTTGAGGATTGTTTACCCTGTAACGTAGGTCGGCACAATCTGGTCAGCATAATCCGGAATACGAAGTATGAAAAACGGACCATAACGTCCGATTCACTTTTGCTTAAATCAACTCATGACATAATTTTAAACACTTTATATAGAATGACTTTTTCCCATAAACTACACCATTTCCAGGAAAATCGATGATAAAAGTCGCCGTCCCGATCTACGTCATCAAAAAAGTCCAGGATACCCGAAATGCGAACACCTCCTTTTTTTCTCTATTTCATTTCCCTCTTACCCGATTTACCCCTAAAGTTTTGCCGGTGAAACTAGAAAATCATAGACGTGTGGCGCAGATTATCCGATGAAATGTGGCGCACGGTGGAACAAGCCAACAGAAGAGGTCGGGCCATTAAAGGGAAAAATCCAAGCAAGAGACTCGTTCAAGTAAGTTAAAGGGAACTCTACAAATTATGCTCAGATACCATATTATTGTCCAATTTTGAGAATCTGTAACATCGTGATACATTTAAACAATCAACTCAAAATTGACAATGTCGCGATATAAACCCGCAATAGTATACTTCACCGGTGCAAAGTCCACGCTAGAATTAGGCCGAGGTGTGAGAAAATCAAACAAAGCACACTAAGTTTGTTTTGCATGCGAGGAACACCGAACGAATTTCACTGTAACGCCTGGCTGCAGGTGATGCAACTATTCGGACTCCATGGGTGTCTGTGTTGCATACGCAAGACAGTGAAGGCGTTTTGAATCTCTGGACAATCTCTGCTTTACTCGCGGCGCTGCATGATATCGGCGGACAGCACTGCAAGGATCCGAAATGACGGAGCGCCGATGATACTTCGTTCATACTACAAAAGCATATCTTGGACAAGTATAGTTGCTCTACAAATCATGCTCAGCACATTAAGTTCTTGCTCAAACTCACGCTCAGCAATATCAAAACAGAAGCACAAAAAATACTGCCAGCCTGCGACTGAGTACAATAATTCGTGCCCAAGAAATATTTCTGTAGTATAGTGCTTAGGGTACTACAGTTCTGTAGTGATTGTTTAAAGGTATGACAACGTTGAAAATGTGAAATGTGGGCTGAGGCCCCTACACTCATTGTTCTGAGAACGACGACTAAGGAAGAGTCATTTTACAGACACAGGGGGAACATTTTTTTGAGAAAAAAAAGGACCCAAAAATTGTGACAAAATGTCCTACGTTACTGTTTGTTTCAGGGTCATCAAACTGAAGTACCCGTAGATCGGTTTCATCAGAAAGCAATGTGGAAAATATGAAAAATGTCATTAAAAAGTTTCGCAAATTGGAAAAAGAGAAAAATTGTGTTAAACAAAACGCTGATTATTTGCTGAATCGACTTTCATTGAAGGGCCGAACTGACCTGCGTTGTTTACGCTTTTTGGCGCGAGGGGAAAGTGTAACTCCCTGATTTGTTCTGTCTTTTACAATAGGTTGACCTTGTTCAAAATTTTGATGAGGAACCATGTCTAGAAGAAGTTCTATTTATTCTTATCGTGTCCGGTGGTCCGGTAGGATAGGTTCTCCGGGGGGCAAGAGGGGATCCCTGTGAACTTCCGTGTTCAAACATGTTTATTGCACCCCTTCGAGGTTTGAAACGTCAAGTGGAGCCTTACCTTGATTTCCAGGCGCCTCGTGGTCCGCACAGGAACTCCTTCAGCACCCGCCATTTCCGACGCACGGCCAACTCGGCGTTACGTTGCTGCGTTAACACATTCGCGAACCGAAGCGATTCTTCACTCGCGCGCGACCGACACGGAGACACGACGTTCATCTGAAACAAACCATTCTCAAAGTCAGAGAAAGACGTGTGTAATTTCTTTGTAAAAACTCTAGGAACAGAAACATACCCTAATAGCGCACTGAAAAAAGGTTATTTCTTTTCGTTCCATACTCTGAGAGACAAATTTTTAGGAGATGATTAAAAAATGTTTTAAAATAATTTTATAGAACAACTCCAGCATTCTTTGTTCATGTAATCTTTTTTTCGATATCAGACAATTTTATTTCATGGTTGCCTTAAAAATAAACAAATATTTTAGAAATGTTCTGGAAAACTCCATTTTTCGGGACTTTCGAAAGCGTTGAAAATATTTACTTCATAATTATTTTTACATAATTCATAAGTCTTTATGGAAATGTTTATAAAATGATTGAAAAATGGCATTAAAACTTTGAAAGTCTTCCAGTGACTTTTTAAATTTTAAACCTGCTTTTAAAATGATTAAAAAGACCGTAAAACCTAAAGAACGCAAATGCGTCCCGATAACTTATCTCCTAAAATGTTTTAGTCACTTTTTACAAATTTAAGTTTTATTCCGATTAAAGGAACATCAGAGGAATATTATCAGCAAAAATTAGTATTTATCGTAATATATAGTGAGGAGGACCGGGACCCACAATGTCTTCATTGCCTCCAAAAAGTGCTAGAGTTCAACTATTCATCTGGCACGAGCATCGAGCAAGAGTAATCATGTTGAAACCAAAGTGCGCCTTCAAAAGTAGAGGTAGGTAACTATTCGTGCTCCACTGTTGTCCGGATTGTGCCGGCATGGTTTTTCAGGAATCTTTCATTATGCATTTGCTTGTGGACTTTCAATCATGGTCCACTGGACTTATAGCCCTTTTCATAGAAGAGAGGTCTTTAACAGACGCTAAGCCTTAATTTTTTAACATTCCCGATCTATGTAAGAGCATAGAGATTGATGAAAAGCATGTAAAAAATCTAGGAATTTTTTAGCAACTGTCGGGCGACCAGTAAGATGAAAAATATTTTGATCTGACAATCTCCGACAGTATCTAATGTAATTATTCACAGCACGAGCAACATCCTGGCTGGTTAAGATGAGGGGGTATCTCTAAAATTCCTCAACTACACTTTACCTTTTAGTGTAAGGAGGGAGGGCTGATCTTATCGTAATGTGCTCATTGGAAGCTATTGAAGTAAAACTTTGAAGGTTTGACAAGAATATTTCTCCAGTTGACTCAAAAAGGGCCACGATCCAGAATGAGGGAGGTCCCTTCATTAAGTACGGTTGAAAAGTCACATTTGAGCTTTGATCTTACCTGAAACCGTAATTTGCTCTCGCCAACCTCGCGATTTCTTTTATGACTGGACAACTTTGAGCTTTCGTAGCATTCAGCCCAAAAAGTGTTCATGGCTTCCGTCAAGTGAGCAGTTAGTGCGGCCTGATACGCTTCGTGTAAAGGCCGAACCTGAAACAGATTAATATTCCAAGTAACACTCAAGATTCAACGACTAGAACTTTAAACTGAATTAAATTTTTAGCTAGTACCTAAAAACACACATTTTTAGAGATTACTTTCTGAGTGAAAAACGCTTTGGCGTTCGCAAATGAGAGGTGACTAAATAGGACGCAAAATTAAACCCTGAAATGGTTTTTGTAGGTTTAAAAAATTATCTTGAAGAAAATTTGCAAACGAGAAAATTTAGAATACCTCAAAGACACAAAAATTATAATAATTAGGAAAAGGGCCGTTCATAAAATACATCACCCTCTGAGAGAGTGGCATATTTTATGGGCGTAAGTGTTTTTGTGAACGTAACGCCATTTTGTTTTTACGTGTTGAAGAGTAGGATGATCTGAATAGTGATCCGAAATTTAGTGTTATGTATTCTTTGAATGTACCCGCATCATTATCAGATGTGTTCTCACAGTTACCATTAAAAGACGGAAGCGTTAGATTAAAATTCTAAGGGAGAATCTCTCTCCCCACAGCCTGAGTTCCTCAAGATATAATTCTGAACTCTGCGTAAAAGTTTCTAATCCTCGGAGTATGCAACCTATTGAAATTTGTCTTATAATCCTCGATTGAGAGAATCGTGTGTCAGGAAACAATAATCTTACAAGTCGGGATGGCCGCCTCAGTCCGAAATAGAGCCTCTAATTCGTTTTTTACGTCTACGTGACTTCTATTCTTGGTCCATACTTATTTTTGACAGAACCAAAGTGAGTACACGTCGTGATGTCACGCGTTCAATTGACTAACTTAGAGAAACATGCTAGGTTGCCGCTTGGAGACTAATTGGACTTCATTTTGCAATGTAGAATTACTGTTTACGGCTCATTTTAGGAACAACGCGAAAGCCCCATTAGTTTCCCTATACAAATACGTTCTCTTATGAATGAGCCAGTAATAGTAAGTTCTCATCGCAAAATCTTGGTCAAATTCTCCGCATCCTCTTAGATGGAATAACCTTTCTCACTCAGCGAAAAAATGAAAAATTAATCTGTCTTAATTATTTTCCGATCACGGAAACAATTTAGGGGTTTGTTGGATGATGAGAGCATTTCCAATTAATTTTGGCAGTGCCCCAATAAATTAGCTTACTTACTCGAATGTTGCGGTACTATCACAATTAATTGGAAATGCCAATGCCATCCAAAAAATGGGAAATTAGGGTAGTAACCGTAGTACCACAAGTTTAGGGGATGCCCCTTTTTCCGTGATTAATCAAGTCAAATGTACTGCTTCAACTTTAAGGGCCTTCATTTTCCATTTACAGCAAAGCTTAAAAATACTTTTTTTTTACATTTTCATCGAGGACTTCATTTGACTATTCCTCTTGAAGTTACGGACACTTTGATCATTACAAACGATGTACGTCCGCAGCGAGCCGCCAGATATCGAAATTGATAGACAAAACTGTAGACAAAGAAGACAAAATGTGTACGAAGGGATCCTATTGGTGGAAGCGGATGGTTGCAATTAGATAAAGGCCATGGGTCAGAGGCCAGCGAGCTGATTGTTGAAATCGGATCCTATTGGTGGAAGCGAGTGGTTGCAATGGAAACAAGCAGGAAGCTCCAACGCATTGGCGTCGGAGAGCGGCTCTGGGGGCAGTAGTTGTAGTCAAGAATGAGGGCCTATACACATTTTGTCATTGATGTACAATCCGACAACTGTCGATTCATGTTTTGTAACTTAGCAGATTTACGTAGCCGGTGTATAAATGTGTATTGGGCTTTGATATGGCGAATACATGGCATTATCACTTGTTGTATACTTTTAATTTTGAAAGCTCTTTGGAGGTCCGCTTCCTAAAAAATCTCTGGTTGATAAGTCGTTTAGCGAGGCTGCAAAAAATTTGCATTTTTATATCTGAAAGTGTAGGTATTGGTTTTTTGTATAATTGTTTTTTTGGATTGCTGGAAAAGTAACGCATACTTCTATAATTTAGGACTGAGTCAGGGAAATATAAGGTTCGTTAAATAGTAAATATTCCTAGTACCGTGTGACACTATTGTTAACGAAAAGTTTTTGCAACTTGTCAAAGAGGTTGTTGAATGATCTTCGAATAACTTTTGATGAGCTAGAGGTAATGGTTCTATCTGCAGCTCGTGGACTTCTGTACGATATTGTCCAGAATCATCTAAATTTTCAAAAAGTGTCCGCTTGTTCGATACCCAATTTGCTCATTCATGCATACAAGGAGAGGCGCATGAAAGCTTTAGCAGACATTTTGGAGATGAATCAAGAATTAGATGAAGAATTTATGACTTAAATCACGGCACCTTAATCACGGGATGACCTTAATTACGGCAACTATTTATTGTCCATGAGATGCAGATGGTTCCATTTCCCTAGCTCATCAAAAGGTATTCGAAGATCAATTTCATCAGCCACCCGTACTAACCACGTTTCTAGTGACCCGTACTTGCTTCGCACGTATGAAACATACAATCAGAGAAAACAGAATTCATCTTACAATAATCAATAATCAGTAGGACATGAATCGTTGTGATGTATAATACGACATTATAATGCGGCATTACTATTGTAATTCATTTTAATGGATTAGGGGCATTATAAATCATTATTGCCACGTCGGAATGAAATGTTGTAGACTGAATTGAAAAGCATGTTGGCAAAATTTATTATAAAAATAGTATAACATGTAGGTACATAACATAAAGGTAATACAAATTAAATGATTAGAGCGTGTATATTTCATTACATTATAGGTATATTACAATCATTTTTGTCATTGTTGGAAATTTTGATAGTTTGAAATTTGATAGTTGATAGTTGATAGTTTGAGAGTTGAAAATTTGGTTATTTTATTTAGTTAAGGTGATTCGATAGACGCCATATTTTGTGTCAGAATGGCATGCGACATATCCCATCAATTGGTTCCATTTTTTCATTTACTCATCATTTTTCTCCAATTTTAAGTTTCGCAATTCTGTTTTCAGGAGACTAAAGCACTCACTTATCAATTTGTATATTTATATTGAGTTAAGGGTAGAGACGTATTCCTCACCGGAATTGAGGAATGGAGGTGTTACAGTAAGTCCGGCATTAGGTTCCATTTCGACATCAGCGACGATCAACGCTACGATACTGGAAGCCAGTCTTCCGATATTAAATCCCTAGCGGGGAAGAAAAAAAATGCCTAGATTTCGCTAAAAATCCCTAAATCCCCAGATTTGCTCAAATATACTTAAAAAATCCCTAGATTTTGCAAAAAGCGCCATTTTTAACGAAGAATCATGATGTCATTCGATGTAGCGATTTGCAATATTTAAATCTGATTGGCTCGTTTGAATTTTGGCGCTCTCTGAAAGCAGTGCTAATCCAGACCAATAAAATGAAAGAATATTAGTTGATTTCTTATTATTAACAGGTTGAATGCAGTTGAATGTCAAGTACATCGAAGGACGCAATCGTTTTAATTTCCGGCTTATTTGCGGGGAAAATAGTGTTGCCAAAAAGGCCTACAAAATATAGATGAAAAAATGTTTTCGATTGTCGAAGCTAGAATTGAGGTTAAAAAGTTGATTTTTGGTAACTTTACCTCATCAAAAAAAAATCCCTAGATTTCCTGAAAAATCCCTAAATCCCTGGAAATTCCGGAAAATCCCTAAGTCTAGGGATAAACCCTAGACATCGGATGGCTGTTGGAAGCATTAGAGTCAACATTTGAAACGCTGCTGCAGAATTTGCCGGGAGTATAATCGAGTGTTGAAAGTCAGTAGAATTGAACAATGTAATAATTGCTTTCCGAAATAAGCGTTATAATAAAAAAACCACGAATCTGAACTGTTAATACTGGAACACACCTTCTGTAAATGTACCTTGCGAGAGATAAGTAAAAAAATAGATGTACTGGAGGAGAAGTGCTTCTCCACAGAGTTTGAAGAAGGAAAAAAAATGCCCAAATTTACTTACTTCAGCATTTTCGGCAAAATCACTGCAATTTCCGAACCTTTTTCTGGCCAGGGGCCAAAATTAAATGATTATGAAGGGCCACTTAGATGTTGTAGATAAAAATAGGACTGTTGAAAAAGTCGCCGTTTTCAATAAATATGTTCCCGGAATGGAAGACATCTAGGGGAAAATTGTTACGATTTTCCGATGCAAATATTTTCCTACAATCTATTTTCCTGCGTTTTGGGATTATACGTACTTTTAGTGTGTTTTCGTGTCATTTAAATGTCGTTTTTTTTTATGTGTGTATTAAAACTAACTTGGTGCTTTACAAAATTATTATTTTCCATTTCAGTAGTACGAACTAAACTGTGCTTACGTTTTTTGAACATGCAAATTTTGATGAAATCGTCCATCAAGAAAGTTTTTTGTTTCCTGTCACTGTGAATTTTTTTCCTCCATAAATTTTAAGTATTCCGAGTACTTACTGTGTAAAAATAATAGATTTAAATTGACTGTTTACTTGTAAGATGTCGAATCGATTTAATTTTGATATTAGAAGGTAGAGGTATTAATTTTTTGTACTACTAAAGAAAATGCCATTGCATTTTTTTTTAATAAAAAAGAAGAGCAAGACACTAGTGAGGAACTCTTGAACTATAGGTTAATAAGCTATAGATTGTGCATAGAAATTGCCAGTCTAAAGTTTCAAGAATGAGAAAATAATCAGCCCATGAGTGGGTCCAGAATGAGGGAGAAGGAAAAGTTGAAATAATTTTACTGGAAGGAGGGATAAATGAGGTACTCACCGAATTTATTCGTACAGAACATTCAAAAATCCCTTGAAAAAACAGCTCACAAATAAAAGCAAATTGCCATAGAAACTTCTTCACGAAATCACACACACAACGAAGAACGAGGCGCTACAGACGAGTCCGTCCAGGACAAGTTAAAAAATTCCCATGAGCCGAGTGCCGTAGGTTAAGGGCCCGTTCGCCAAAACTAATCGGAACTGTATGAATGAATTGCTCCTTTTAAAAATC